GTTACTAGTAGCGATGCACTTGTTACTAGTAGCGATGCTCTTGTTACCTGTTACTAGTAGCGATGCACTTGCTACTAGTAGCGTTTCTCTTGTTACTTGTTACTAGTAGCGTTGGACTTGCTACTAGTAGCGATGCATGTGCTACTAGTAGCGATGCACTTGCTACTAGTAGCTTCTAGTATAGGCTTACAGGCTGATTTTGTATCAATTTATTTGCACTGCTGCTCATCTTAGTTGACGAGATCATGAAACATGCGATCTGCCCTGTGGGTCGGGACAAGAGGTATCGGCAACTGAACTATTTTGGTCTCTTTCAGTTGTGCATCTTTTGAGGTGCTGAGCAATTGTGTAATCAGTAGATGTTGTGATCAGTCGTATGGTTGAGAATCTAAGTTAAAGCAATCATGTAAACGCATTCCACACCAACACGGAACAGGGCGACTGCCAATAATATGGTTTAGTTTATCAATCAACATAAAGGTACGAGAGCAATGCCATTGTCTGTCACCTCGAAAAACGCAGTTCGCTAAGCTAATATTTATTTTGCCAACGCTTGTTATTGCATTTCTTTCCCAAGCCATTGCACTCCCCACCTGATAAGACTTCTTCTTCGAACCTCAATCTCGGAGTCGGACAAAACGTTGTTTGTTGCTCCACAAAATATGGCCCTAGCCCCTAGGGGACAGTTGTACTCACATACAGTATCGTATGTTTGTTTTGTATTCGCATCGAAGTCATAATTAAGTGAGACATCAGGGTCTTGGTCCAGGTCTGTACCACGGAATGGACATGTATGGACTGTTGGAAAGAGTTTCAAAAAAAAATAAAGTAAAAAAATCGAACCTCCTCTTTCACATCATTGCCGTTGAGAGCACATGCTTTCTCAATTCCACGTGTCTCCTTCTGGTAGACATCGTGTCACGAACTCACTCTCAACTCAGGCAATTGGCCCGTTGCCTAGCCCACATTCTACTGGAAACAAACACGTACGGCAGGGGGGGAATGTGCTCTGGACAACTCAAACAGCCAACCCGGCAGCCCCAAAGCTGGCCCTGCCTCCCAGGCTTGTGCCAAAGGAAGGCTGACAGTCGACAGCCTGTGTCTCCTGACTGCACGCAACCACCCTGATTGCTCGACCAGCGGCGATGTATTTGAGCACATGGTAGAAATGATCCAGGCATTGAGTCATTGAGGAAACCCTAATTCGCCCACTCAAAAAACCAAATCATCAGTGCGAGCGCTTCTTCAAGGAAGCTCCCGGAAAGCTTCCTGAAGAAGCAGGAGCTATCCTGCGTCCAGTTAGTAGTAGTAGCTTAAGCAGCTAGGAGAGAACTTTGTCTCTTACTTGAGAACTGTAAGTAGGCACTTACTTAATATTAAGTATGAGCGGGCTAGGCTACAAATCCTTTGATCCGTGAAACCACCAATCAAGCAGGTTGTTGCAGGAGTCTTGTCCAATCCCTCTTGCTGTTTGGTCACAATGGAGGTGACACGTTGTAAGGTACCTTCAACTTGGTTAGAAAAGGGATGAAAACGGATACACAACAACGAATTTGGGAAGACTTGGGCATGGAAGTTGATGAACGCGACAAAGGTTATCATCAAAAGAACGGGCCTCTTATGACCTCTGATGTGATCTTTTTGCCCAAGTACAAGTGGAATCCCTCTAGCCTCACCACAAAGACTTCAGCAGACCTGATTGCAGCTGGTTGCTGTGAGTGTAGCCGCCGAAGCATCTCCACCTGGCCCGAAGAACCAAACATGCTATCACACAATCAAACTACAATGGTTTATACCGCTCCTGACATTGCATCACACCCCGTCGTGAAAAATCCAATAGTAGTGAAACCCTAACCCGCCTTGCAACATTCAACATTCAACTTTGTGGTGCGTAAATTGGCGCACATGTTGAATTCCCTTTGATAGTTGCGCCGTGCGATTGTCTCTCTAGTTTGTTGTGCAAGCGAGCTACGACACGAGACTGATGTGAATGTGAAACTACAGTATATGTTTGCTTATATAGTGTCCAAACATGTCCAAATCACATTGTCTCATTATGTGTATGTTCTGCAAATACCAAGGGAAACATTGCAAAATACTATAATTTCCATATTCTGGCTGGCTCGTTGCCTCATTGGTAGAACCAGTATCTTAAAGTAGCTAAGTAGCACCTTGCCTTGTTCAGTGTCTTTAAATCGCTGCTCGCCCAGCTTCAGGCCAGAGGCCTATTTCGATGAAATAATTATGTTGGTACCTGGTATGCAACTGGAAGCTTTTCTGGCTCGGGATGCCTGCAGCTGTGCCTGCTTTTGTGTCTCGAAGTGCACGTGGCTTGCAAACTTTAAGCGGGGACTGTGGCCACTGGCCAGAACCGGCGTACTCCACTGAAACGTTGTTTCTGGTGCTTGGAGGGCTGAGGCCAGGCCACGGGCCTGAAAAATTATTGCCTACTTCGATGAAATAGCTGGTTTCTCCACCTGGCCACAAACCAGAACAAACCTACTGATGGAGCACCGAATCAAGGGTCTTTTTTCACTCGCTAGTTTGGAGATCAATACCTTGTCCTGGTCATGCCCAAACAGACTCTTCACCATTGCTTTCAAAAGGCACCTCACTATTTCAAGATAAACACCTCCTTGTCGTCTCACTATTCAACACAATTCTTCAGCTTAAAAAATAGTCTGTCCAAATATATACATACAAAAATTACAATAAAATACACTTCGCCATACTTGCCTGCTGTGCACTGTGCACTGACTCAGGTGTTTTGGTGCACACACCGCGCGCACCTTTTCTTCCTCCCTTGGCGCCGCGCCTTTCTCAACTCTTCCTGGACCTTGAGACGCTCTTCCCGCAGCTCTTTCAACTGCCGTGGGTTACACTTGAGCAGTGGCAAGCTGAATCCGGGAAGAACTGGGCAAACCCTATTGCAAATTACTCATGTTCCTCGGTCTTGAGCTACATCTTAGTGTCTGTCAGCACGACTTGTTGGAAGGATTTGCTGGTATTCTACAAGGTTTCTACATTTTAAACAAAGAAAAAAGGAAAGATCGCCTTTGGGCACCACTTTGTTGAAGCAGTGATTGTTGTAAAATGCCAACTGGTTTTGTAGCAGCGTTGGTTTCGATCTGATTTTTAAGTTGGTTTCAAGGAAAGCAGTTCAAGTTTCAGAGCAAGCAACATCAGGAAAATATTCAGCAGCCATAGTCATTGATGGTTTTTGAAAAATATGTCTATATAGTAAGCCGTAAAATATTTATATATGTTTTACATTGAACAATGTGAAACGCATGTTTTCTCAAACAGCAACGGTAATGTGTTTGCTTATCGCTAAATTGAACAAACACAGTGTTCAAACCTCCTTATAAATTACTGCATATATTTAAATATCATGTTTTTTGCAAGACATCGTGAAGGAATTTTTAGCCACAGGTTCGAAAAATATGACAATGTTGGACCGATCATATTTGAAGAAAGTTCCTTCGGTATGGGACCTATATAGGACTTAGAGGTATTTAATATTTGCAATTTCAAAACTCAAAATATTACCTGAGAAGGGGGGGGGCGAAAGCCAGCAGCCGCCAGACGAGTGTATCTATTTCTGGTGGGCGTCGCGGCACAAGACACATGGTCGGCAGCTTGCGAGTCAGCGGTGCCGCGGACGCGGGGGGGCGTATGTAATGGTGATTGAGGGGGCAGAGAAGCAAGCCGGGCGGCTGTGGGATAAGTTTGGTAATTATGAAAGAAGTAGTGAAAGAGAAATGCGATACGTTGTAAGTTGGAGTGTAGGTCATCATCACTTACAAGGCAATATTCATCTTATGGAAGTTGGAAGGCGACATCAGCGTTAGGGCCTTACTACTAGGAGCAAGGACGCTACTAGGGGCTCCGGGCCTTACTACAAGGGGCAGGCCTTACTACCAGGAGCAAGGACGCTACTAGGGGCTCCTGGCCTTATTACTGGGCCAATGCTGCTCCACGCTTCGCGGTATTGAATTAATTGTGGTATTTCAGGAGCATAGTTTCTCAAGTAAGCAGTGAGGAGCAGAAGGCCTTTGCCTCCTCCAAGGCCCGCAATCAGTGCTTCTTAGCAAGGTTCAAACCTTTTGTTTGTTTCGAGGCTACATGTCAATTTTGCTCTCAAAACATCTAACAACGCATCGCTAAACAACACAAATGCGTCAAGCTCCCAGGGTTGCAAATCCATTCACTCGTCAATTTAGCAGATTAGTTTACATGTCCCAAAAGCATCATCCACAGTTACGCCGTGAGAGTCCCGATCATGGTGCTCCTAGTAGTAAGGCCAGGAGCGATGCCAGGAGCCCCTAGTAGCATCCTTGCTCCTATAGCTCCTTGTTACTAGTAGCGTCCTTGCTCCTAGTAGCGATGCCAGGAGCCCCGTAGCGTCCTTGCTCCTAGTAGTGAGGCCAGCCCCTAGTAGTCTTGTTACTAGTAGCGTCCTTGCTCCTAGTAGGAAGGCCAGGAGACCCTAGTAGCTTCTTGCTACGAGTAGCGTCCTTGCTCCTAGTAGCCATGCCAGGAGCCCCCAGCAGCGTCCTTGCTACTAGTATTGAGGCCAGGAGTAGCTTCTTGTTACTAGTAGCGTCCTTGCTCCTAGTAGCGATGCC